CAAGAGACAGTGAGCCAGCCAGCTAGCAGCATTGCTCCATGGTCTCTGCTTTAGTTTCTGCTCCGACTCCGACACAGTGATGGACTGTGACCTGGAAGTATAAGCCGTGTACCATCCTCAACTTGCTATGGGTCATAGTATTTGTTACAGCAACAGAATGAACTAGAATAGCCATCCTTATAGAATGTCTGTCCTTCAGGCATATGGATTTTGCCCTCTTGAACTCAGTAGTGTTGATTATCCATAGGAGATCTGCACAAGATTGTGCCCATTAATATCTGTCATGGTGGGGGAGGTGCTCACTGAGTTCCCTTCCCTGGGGATATACAGCTATTGCTGGTGATCAGAGCCATTTTCTTCAGTGGTGTAACCACTCACAGGTCGCCCATGCTCTATTTTAATCTCATTGAATCAGCAAGTTAGACTTGAGTATTCGGGCTTCTTAGTTCTTTATCTGAGGTCAGCAGCATTGTATTCATCACTCTGGGAGAATTTCACACAGATGTCAATAAAGCAGTAGGGTGGTTTGAATAAGAATGGCCCCCATAGACTCATACATTTGAATGCTTAGTCACCAGGGACTGACACTGTTTGAGAAGGATTAGAAGGCGTGGCCTTGTCAGAGTAGGTGTGGCTTTGTTGGAGGAATAGTGTCATTGAGAGTGGGCTTTTGAGATTTCAAAAGCACATAGCAGGCCCAGTCTCTCTCTCTTTCCCTCCCCCTCCCTCCCCCTCTCTCTTCCTGCAGATCAGTATACAAAGCTTTTAGCTACTGCTCCAGCACCAAGCATGCCACCATCCTCCCTACTGTGGTGATAATGGATTAAGCCTCTGAAACTATAATCAAACCCCCAACTAAATGTTTTCCTTTGTAAGAGTTGCCTGGGTCATGGTGTCTCTTCGCAGCAACAGAATAATGACTAAGGCAGACAAGAACACAAATATGTTAACTAGTTACCCAGTTTATTGTGTTTTTACAATAAAAATAAATTAGTTGTACACAAAATAGTGCTGAAAACAGCCCATAATTCACCTTCTGCTCGCCTCCTCCTTCCATAATAATTTAACACTGTAAATGGACATGGATTGGTGTTGTCCTCAGTGGGCTTCTCCCTCTCAGCTCTGCAGTTCACAGGTCAGCCTCCAGGCCCCGGTCCCAGCAGCCCCCAGCAAGGATCCTGGAGTCACCATCAGAGCTGAGATGCTGCCATGTGTCCCAAAACCTCTCCCAGCCACCTCCGCCCAAGTTGTCCCCAACTCTGACCTCCTGAGCCACAAGCCTGGTGACGCTAACAGTGGCCTCCACTGAGAAGGGATGAGAAGCATAAGCCACCTGCCCTTCTCCGAGTGTTTGGGTGTGAGGAGAGGGCAGACGATATGAGGAAATAGGATATCTAAGTCAGAAAGGAGGCAGTCTTTGTCAGGCACAACACTGAGAGGGGGAACCCCTGAATATGTCAAAAGTAGAGTCAGTTATTTGATCTTAGATCCCCTAAAGTTTGGCCAATCACTGTACTAAACAACTATAAGGATGACTCAGAATAAGACACTGGTGCAGCGACGTACCAGGAAGCTGGGTTAGTATGATCAAATGGTTTTATGAAAATGTGGATGGCATATGTAAATAAATACCTATTAGGTCCCTTTAACAATGAACATATTCTGAATAAACAGAACTATTTTGCTGTTGAGATCCACTCTGCAGATACAGTTCAGAATACACATTTCCTATAGACACCTTGTATTTACAGAGAACATAATAATAAGTTATAGCAAAGTATATCCTTCTGTTGGGTAGATGTTTGGGGGCCGGGGAGCGGGAAGGGGAGTTAATGCGTGTAACAGAATGGATTTTTCTCTCACTGAGGCCAGGGGCTCATGGTCTCAAGATGCAGGGAGAAGGGGAGTTTCTACATTCTTGGGACCGTTGTCCACAGCACGATGGGATTTCCAACGGACCGAGGATTCAGAGATACAAAGGATGGTTTGGGGTTGAGGGTTACTCTCTGTCAGCAAGGTCTCTCTTAGGAAGGCAAGGTGTTCTTACAAAAGAGATTGGAGGTGAGTGGCCCAGGCTTGTCAAGGCTGCCTCCGTAGAGGTGTATGACCCAGATGGCTGCCCTCATGTCTGTGTGCCCCTTTGTCAAGCAAACATATGGAGGCCAGGCTCTGACCAGGCTGCCAGTGGGCCACATGCTGCTCACAGGAAGGGGCACAAATGGGTTTCAAAAGGTGACAAGGTGATGGCAGCTAGGAACGAGGTGAACTTGCTGTCTCTAAGCAGATGCATCACTCAGAGCTGGGCCACTTGGAGAGCCACCAAAACCTGGACTTGGAGATGAATTTGAACAGTAAGCTGCCAAAAAAGGTATCTGTTCCCTTCCCACATCCTGACACACCCATCGGGTCTCAGCTGCCATTTCTACGGAGGCTACCGTCTCCGGTATCCCTGCACCCATAGGAGATTCTAGTTCTCAGAAGTTTGTTATTCTGTTTCACTAGGGTTCTCCTGGTGTCTCTTCAGCAGATGTGACACCTCAGGTGTCCCTTGAACTGTCTCTAGCAGTCTTTCCTCTTTATCAGGATTGGAAAACCCCACCTGAACATTACATATGAGCAGTAGTAGTCTTTCTGCAGACACGTGCATCTTGACTCCCACCCATGTTTTCTCTGTGGCCTTGGTAGCTTCTGGAATGGCTTACACACAGATAAACACATGGGTGTGCACGTGGAGGTCAGAGGACAACATCAACTGCTGTTCTTCAGGTGTCATACACAATGTCATTTTGAGTCAGGGTTTCTCACTGGCCTGTAACTTGCCAAGTAGGGTGGGCTGGCCATCTAATGAGCCCCAGGGATGCACATGCCTCTGCCTCTCCCATGCTGGGGTTACAAGCGAGTGGCACCACATCCTGCTCTTTGCATGTGGGTCTTGAGACCTGGGCTCAGGCCCTCAGCACTCCGATTATTGAGCTACCTCACTGGTCCAGGGGCCATTTACATTTGATGCTTCCTTTCCATTTTCTTGGCTGACTTTGATCTTAGCTGAAATTCTTCCCTTTCCATCGCTTTTAAACTATAGTTACTCTTTTAATCCACAGGTAGGACTTTAGATGTTTGTCAGTGAACTGTTGAGAGCCAGGCTTTCTCTTCACATGCATGCATGTATGTGTGTGTATGTATGTACGTACGTACGTACGTATGTATGTACGTACGTACGTACGTATGTATGTATGTATGTATGTACATATGTATGTATAAATCTTCCCAGGCTCTTCTTACCCTAGCTGTTGGCTCTCCAAGGTGAGGACATTGGCCAGTTTTCTTCTAAGACATCGAAATGTTTTATCTGGCAAGGATCAGATGCTGGACCCCTCCTGCAGGGCTGACAGATCACTCACCCTGTTGTGATGTAGTCTCCTTTCATTTGGTTCCTATTACTTATATATGAAAACTGAGGTGCCAACTCTAAGACAGCTACTAATTAAACAAGGAGACTATCTTAGGCAGGTGTTAGCAATATCTAGAGTTCTCCACACCACACAACAAATTAAGCCAGCATCTCCCATTTTCCAGCCTTCTAGAAGCTGTTGGGTATAAACGCTTTTAAAGAGAGTGTCGGGCAAATAGATGATACACACTAACAGCAAGGAGGGAAGACAAAACAGAGAAATCCTGGGCTGACAAGAAAAGCAAAGGAGAAGCTGGGATACTTGTGAGAACTCGCTTCCCAAGCCACTGAGAGATGGAGGGGTGAAGTTCCCTGGCTTCTTACTAGGGTGAGCATGGTTTATGTGAAGAGAACTGCTCCCTCTAGTGGTCGGATGGCATCTTTCCTGCAGGCCCTGATAGGTAAACAGAAATAGACTCCACAGGGGCTGCAAGGAAGGTTCTTTTTCCAGGGAGTGGAAACTTTCAGTTTGGGGCTTTGGGGATTTGTTGAGAAAGACTACACAGTAGCTTCAATCCATCTAATTGTGGTGTGTTCAGAGTTGGGGATGTGGTCATCTGGCGCACAGGGGGACAAATTTGTATTGAAATAAAAATTTCAATTCTGTATCACAGCCAATGAAGGGAATATGGAGAGGCCCAAGAAGGAGATGGCAGATAAAGGACCACCTGCAGGGACAGGCGTCTCTTCCCTGGCGATCGCTGGGGGGTCCCAAGGCCCTCTCCACACTGTTAGGAAGAAAGCCATGCAGGTGATGGAGGGAGAAACCAAGACATTTGCAAGATTGGCTTCCTATGACAAGGAGGTTAACCCACCCCATTCTAGAAATCCATAACCTCCTTAAGGGGGCTGAATTCCCAGGGACAGCTCATTTTTCTGGAAACATCCATTGAACTCAGGTGAGGTGTTTTTTTTCGCTATTTGTTTTGTTTTGCCTGAAAACCAGGGCCTGACTCCTTTGCTATGACCTACTCCCACGCTACAGGAGAATCATTGTCCTTCCTGAAACTATGGGGTGACATCTTGGATACAGGATAGAGAAAGCTATCATCAACCCAGCCCCAGCCCTGAGAATTTGTGAGGGGGAAGGGCAGGGAGGGAACCGGACAGAAACTGCCTCAGAGCATCAGACCAGACAGGAGACATGATCCTCAAGGCTGTGAATGACTACCACGCCAGCGGGTGCAGGTAATGAGCTCATGGAGGGACCCTGTGCTTTTAGAGAAACATGCCCAGGATCCAAAAACAAGAGAAGTTCTATACGTTTAGAATTTTTAAGAAAAAATATTCTTCTTAATTGTCTCCCTACCACTCCTGGAGCTGGTTCATTTTTCAGTATGCACCGAGTCCCTTCAGGAAAGCCTGGGGCCTCTGGAATTACAGTTGGGATGAGGTGAGTCAGCGAAGACGGAGGGGGGGCAACGGACAGACGGACACGGGACACACCTCAGTGCTCCTTTTCCCAGACCCTAATCATTAAAAGTGACCTTGGTGGTCAAGTCTTGTGAAAGTAAGAGTCATGAGTCACAGGGCACCGGTCGGGGAGGGATGTGAGACTACCAGAGAGAAAACCTTTAATTAACCCACAAGGCCCAAGTGAGACTCCTATTGCTTGGACTAGCAGCTTGGCTTTCCAGCTGGTGGTACAACATGAAGAACCCAGGAGAGATGCGGGAACAAGAGTTTGTGGGATTCGGGACTTTGTTCCAGTTGCAGAGAGGCCCAGAGAACCCCAGACCAGCTTCTTGCTCTCCCTGTGGCTTTCTTGTCTTGTGGGATGGTTCTGTTGAAGATGGAACTTAGCAAACACCACAGAGTCCTGTCTGCAGGAGCTGTGACTGAGAGAATGGGAACAGAGGTGCAGACATCTTGTAAGAACTAAGCACTTGGTTGAGGCAACACTTGGGACAGAGGAAGGGCTTCAGAAGTGGTCTCGGTTCATAGAATACAACTCGGCCTCCTGGTCAGATAGGAAGCCCCGTTCATTCTTCAGACTGTAGGCCTATGGACAGGCCCCAGGCTGGTCACTGGAGGTGCTGTGAGATGAGGCTATGCCCAGCCATCTGAGGTAGGCACTCAGACCTGCCACAAAACAGCAACTCAGTTACCTGAGCCAAGCCTCAGTTTCCTTGCTAGTAAAGTGGGAGCACTTACTCATCCCCTGCCTCCCATCCTGGGACGCTGGGGCCTCCTAGTGAGCTAATGTCTGAGAATGTATGTACCTGATAAACAAGAAAGCACTCTACTGCGAGATACCTGTCCTGAGGCAGCAAACAGTCTATTGTCGTTAAGAATGGTGGCAGACAGGCACAGCTGGGCTGAGGTAACAGGTCTCAGCAAGGCTTGTTGGTGATGTAGGGTGGGGTGCTCTCCTCTCTTGACTTTCCAAAGGAGTGGGAGTTCTGGACAGGCCAATAGCACCAGGAAGGAGACTGTGCTTGGTCAGCGGTCCAGCTGCTCTCTCAGACAATAGGAAGCCTGAAGTTGGGGTGAGACCTGTGTAGTTGACTGCCCGCTTTTCAGTAGGCACCATCAGC